TGGATGGATGGATGGATGGGTAGATGGGTAGATGGATGGATGGGTGGATGGGTGGGTGGATGGATGGATGGATGGATGATGTTAAATGGGTGGGTAAATGGATGGGTGGATGGATGGACGGGTGGGTGGATGGATGGATGGGTGGATGGATGGGTGGATGGGTGGATGGATGAATGGATGGATGGATGAATGGATGGGTAGATGGGTAGATGGATGGATGGGTGGATGGATGGGTGAATGGATAGATGGGTGGATGGATGGATGGATGGGTAGATGGATGGATGGGTGGATGGATGAATGGATGGACAGAGGCATAAATAGAAATGGATGGATGCATGAAAAGATGGAGATTCACAGGTGAATCCTGTACGTCCTAGACCTTCCTAAACACTCTGTCAGGCTCTTCCAAATCCCATTTCCTCCACTGCTCCCTGTTCATTCTCCGACGTTCTTAACCAATCTGTTCCATTGAGCAACTATCCAATCAGCTCTTTTCCTCCTGGGTGTTTCCTGGGCAGCGCATAAGTTCCCTATCCCTGTCCTCATCCAGCAAACACTTTTGAGGAACTATTCAAACAAGGAAGAAYGCTGGGGCCCGGGGATCCATCAGTGAATGAAACCGGAAGGTTCTGTGCTTATGTGGAACAAAGACTAGAATTTGGCAGAAGCAGGCTGGATTGAAGAGCCTTGAGGTCCACCCTACTCCTGATGGTCTGAATTCAAGCAGGCAAGAGAGCCCAGGGACCACTGGGCCTCTTCATGCCTCCTGTACTGAACACTAGYGTGTGCTAGCTAGACACTGCTCCAGGCACTTGTGATACAGCACTGAACAGGACAGACGGGATCCTTCCCTTCGAGTCTCCCGCATGCGACTCACTCTCTCACCCCAGGGCCTTTGTATGTGCCGTTCCTTTGCCTGCGACACTTTGTGCAACCTCACTGGTGACCTTTTCACTTACCTGCCTTCATTTATTCCTCACCAGTCAGCCTCTGAGGCCACCTGATCTGCAGGACAGGGTTCTCTCTGGATTTGTGTCCCAACCTGTGTGGCCTCATCTCAAACCCAAACACTCAGTGATCACTGCTTGGTCACAGGCCCATAAGTTTGGGTTGTACCCTCCCTCTAGACTGTGGGTTTCATGGGGACAGTGGTTTTACCAGGCTTGTTTTTTGTCTCCTTAGCACCCAGCAGAATGCCAGGCACATAGTAGGTGCTCAGTCAATAAATGTAGCTTGCATAAATGAATTGAATCTGTGTCCCTTCCAGCCAGGAAAGACCTCCATGTGATCCTCAGCCCACGTCCCCCTCTCCTCAGCTCCAATGCCATGCCCTGGGGCCAGGTCACCCCCCCGTTACCCACACCCACATATCCCTCACCCGGCCGTAGATCTCCCCTCTCCACCAGCCTTGCTGCCTCCTTTTGTTGAGGATCTTGATGATGTCGCCCTCCTTCAGGGACAGCTCCGATCGGTCGCGGGCACAGAAGTCATAGCGGGCTTTGGCTGTGCCAAAGTACTTGGCGCTCCCTGCTGTGGGTAGAGAACAGAGGTGGGTGAGGGCTGGGCAGAGGAGCAAGGAGACGCTCTCAGGAGGCAAACTCCACACTCCTCCGTGCAGGGTGCGGGATGTCCTTGACTCGGCCGGACACCAGCTCCCCAGCACCACGCCCTGGCCCCAGCACAGCCAGGTTAGCCAGGAAGACCGTTGGCGGAGAATGTACGATGAGTTTTATAGACCGTCAGCCCTCTGTGTCTGCAGGTCCCACATCTGTGGACCAAGCACACACTGAAAATACTCAAGAAGAAAGAAGGGCAGCCACACTGGACGTGTGCAGACGTCCCTCTGGCCATTGTCCCCCAACTGGTGTGGCGTMGGGAGCGTTTACGTAGGATGTACCTCGTATTAGGAACTCTAAGTCATCTAGAGATGACCCGAGGTGGGCGGGAACATGTAGGTTTTACACAAATGCTATGCCCCTTGATAGGAGGGGCTCGAGCGTCTGCGGATTCCAATATCCACGGGAGGCCCTAGAACAATCCCCCGTGGGGACCAAGGGTGACTGTACTGTAGGAAAATGGACCAGGAAAAATGATAAAAATTTTATTCTAGAGTCAGGCACAGTGCACACACCTGTAATCCCAGTGGCTTGGGAAGCTGAGGCAGGGGGATCACACATTTGAGGCCAGCCTCAGCTACTGAGTGAGACCCTATGCCATTTAGCAAGAAATAAAAATATCTATCTATCTCAAAATTAAAAGGGCTGGGGATGTGTCTTAGTGGGTAAGYACCCCTGAGTTCAATTTCTAGTACAAAAAAAAAATCACTCTAGGCTATTAATTTGAGTTATCTTAAGGTCGGTCATGGTAAACTTTTCATATTATAAAATTAAGTGAAGCTTAAAATATGAAATTAATCAATAATTTTTTTCAGTGCRGGGGATTGAACCTGGGGCTTTGAGCTCTACGACTGAGCTACACCCTGGCCCAATTGGTAGAATTCCAAAGGTTGAAAATAGATATATACACACGTACACAGACCAAGACCAATATGTAACATGGTATATTTATGGATGTAAATATAGACAAAGGTACAGATACATAGGTATCACTAGGACAAATAACATGCTGACAGAAACGTTTATTTAATTGGGTGATGAACATAGATGCAATTTTTGTCTTGAAGTACTGGTGTTATGTTGATATTGCTTTTTCAAGACTACAAGATTTTAATAATAATTTATTTATAAATCCATCCTTTAAAACTGTTTGGACATGTAAGAATTCAGAGACTATTCTACCCACGTATATTTTTCTGAAAAAAAAAATATATACTGCAGGATGCACTCCAGCAAGATGAAATGTGAATCTGAATTAAAATTTCAAAAATAAAGAAAAACATGGAAAACAAACACAGATGGGATCTAAATAACTCTTGATACTGTATCTGTGAAGTTAAATGCAATTACTAAGCATAGACTCCTAAAGTATAGATCCTACTTAACATGAAACAAACCGTATCCAGCAATTCCTCCTAATGTCAACAAATCTGGTAGGTGAGATGCAAAGGAAGAGGAAGTTAAGCGGCGCCATCAGTCTTGTCTTATGGGGGAGGAGATCACAGACACTAATTCTCCCTTGATATTGATTGTTTTAAAGATAGCCTTACAAGGTGCAGGTGAATCYCCTTCTGGCTCCTACTATCCTCATCTTCCCAGACAAAAGTAATCCCACTTCACCTTCCATTCCAGCAAAGGAACCTGCAAATCACTCAGAGTGGACAGGCAGGCGGGAAGGAATTCTGCTGTCCCACAGGTCTGCCCCCTGAGTGCCCTGGGAAGGGAGGTGATGCTTCCTACTCTTGCCCTCCACCCTGGGAAGGGCTGGAGCTCCAGGGCCCCACYGAGGCGCCTACCTGCTGGCTTGCTGATGGCTCTCCTCTCGGGCTCCTTGTAGGGGAACTGCAAGGTGGTGTCCAGGGACTTGAAGCAGTCCTTCAGGGAGTTCTGCTGGTAAAATTCCACCAGCTCCTGCAACAGGAAGGGCGTGAGATGCTGCCACAGCTGGCCAGCCCCCAGGAGGCCGGTCTGGGGTCCCCTCCTGGACTCCCTGGTAGGCAACTCCTTGGATTCTCCCCATGGTGGGAAGCTTGGCTGGGCAGCCAGGGCCACGGTGTGGGGAAGAGACCACCTGGCCTAAGGCCAGTTCTCCTTACGGCCAATGACTCCACTTCCTGATAGAGACACCGAATCTCCAGCTCACCAGATTCAGGCTCTCCTGTGGTGTCCTGATCCTTACAACTAACGGTAACGCTAACCGCTGTGGTGTGGCGCCCATGTGCCAGCCAGGGTGCACACCACGCCTCAGCAGGTCCTCCTGAGAAGCCTGGTGGAGGACAGCTCGTGACCCTTCCATGTTGTCCATGGAGAGCTCAGTCACAGAGACTGAGCAGGCAAGTTCTCTTGCCTTCCGCCTGGAGGAGAAGGCCCTGGGTCCAACCCCATCGGGGCAGGAGAGGGTGGGAGCCCAGAGCCAGCCTCTGAGATAAGACCTCAGATCTGAGTTCAAGTCSCAGCGGCGCGGCTCTTGCACCTCTGCCAGAATGCGCGGGCTGAATCTGATCACCAGGAAACACTCGGGTCAAGACTGAAGGACGCTCTGCAGGACACCCTGCCCCCGCTCTGGAGTTCTGGGTTCAAAAAATGCCAACTCCACGAAAGAGTAAGAAAACAAACAAAAGTCCAAGGAATGATCGCAAACTAAAGACTAAAGAGAGCAGAACTGAATGCCACGGTGGTGCCCGATCAGATCCGGGGGCAGCTTGAAAACACAGCCAGGGCGGTGGGAGCTGGGAACGTGGACGAACACGAGAGCGCGATTCCACACACACGTCCCACTTCTAAAGGGTGACAGGGTGCGTGGAGAAGTGTGGTGACACCTCGGCTCTGGGGGCTCTCATGCCAATGTCACCCTGGGTGAAGGAGCCTGTTGCAACCCRCACTCAAATAGTACAAAGTGAGTGTGAGGCAAAATGGAGTCCTGAGTGGATGCACGTGGAAGGGTCACAGATGTTCATCACACTACTCCAACGTCTTTCCTGAAATCTTTGAGAAATAAAAAAAAAAAAAAATCGAGGGGAAGTCTCCCAAAAGTTTAGGGGAGAAAAAAAAATGTGTGGAATGAATTAACCTCTGGGAGTCGAGGATTCCTCTGGGAATCAGGTAAAATCCAAGACATCCCCTTTAAAAAAAAAAAAAAGTCCCCTGGATTTTCCTTGGGGGACCAGGCTCCTCGGGGACCCACAGGCCACGGGTCAGAACCACATGCCTCACACAATAGGTTCAAAATGCCTAAAAGAAGTTATCAAAATTACAGGGCACTGAACAGACGCAAAAAACGCTCAAGGCATTTGAACCCTCAGCAAAATGGTCACTCAGCCGATGAGGCAGAGCTAACTTGGATGCCAGGCAGAGATGGCCGCTGCTGGATTGTGACATGAGATGAAGAGCAAGCTTCAGTTTCGCCCATCTGGGAAGCGGGGACTCCAGGGTGAGTTCGGGGACTCACTGGAGTCCTACTGTGACCTACTGGACCTTAGTAGATGCCCTCTACATGGCCATCATCATCATCATCACTGGCCACTAACAGGRTAAGTTTGAGGCCTTGGCTTCCCTGGAAGGGCCCTGGTGGACATGGAAGACGGAGGGGCAGGGAGGGTGCCGACCACGTTCTGGGAGGCCGGGGCAGGGGTGGATTTGCCCTTACCACCAGGCCCCGGAAAGCCTTCTTCTCGGTGATCCGGTACAGTCCTTCTGACGTCATGATTTTGATGTGCTTGACCTCGACATTATACCTGGAACCACRGAGAGAGAGGACCAGATGGCAGGCCCTGAATCTGGAGCCAGGCCTGTCCCCCGCCGAGCCTCAGCCCCAGGGTGTCCCCCCAACCCTGGAATATACCTCGGAAGAGTCTGGCTCCTTCAGGGAAGGGTGAACCTTGTCCCCCCAAACCAGAGCTGCCCCAATGGAATCCCTCCCCTGGGGATGGCTCCAAGCCTTCAGCTCCTCCTCATCTTCCCTGATTCAGAACCATCGGGAGACCTCAGAAAGAAAGTATGGGAAGAAACCCCACTGCCACCAGTATGGGGACCAGAAAATACAAAGGAGATGGGAGAAGAGAACCGTTTCTGCCAGTAAAGCAGACCACAGAGGAGAAGAACATGGAGGAGACTCCCGCTTCCGCCAATATGGCGGCCTACCACAAAACCCCCAGAAATTCCAGGGGGTGGGGACGCTGGGCTCTCACAAAGGTAAGGAAACCCCCAGAGAACAAAATAAAGATGAAACTAAAATCCCAGCCATGAGAATGAGAGCTACCCTCGCCGGTTGGCTGATCTTGGTAACCAAGAGCTTGTCTTGGCGACTGGGTGGAAATGGAAAATGAGCCACTGGGCCATGTGAGGTGGAGAGCTCACACTGTGGCCTGCCGACACTCCACCACGGGACTGTCCAAGGAGAGGAACTCCTCCCATCCACAGGGAGCAGGTGGTGAGAAGGCTTAGCCAGCTCAGACCCAAAGTGGAAAAGAATTCTCGTGTGCATCGGGGGCTTGAATCTAAACCCCCTGTGCAGGCTGGGAGGCCACCCAGGTGGTTTGACCCCCGAGTCAACCTAAGAAAAGAAATCTACCTGTTGTCCGTCCCAACACAAGCAAATACAAAATCTCCGGAGACCCAGACAGAGTTAAGAGTCCCATGGATCAGATCATAACACACTGGTGGAGATGTAGATCAGCACAGTCATCGTGGAGAATGGTAAGAAGGTGGCTTAAAAGAGTAAAAACAGAACGACCCCAAGACCCAGCTGTCCCACTACCAGCTATCTATCCTCAGGAAATGAAACCAGCCCATCGGAGACACCTGCACCCAGCTTTACGGCAGCCCTGTTCAGAACAGCCAAGGCCTGGAATGGACCGAGGTGACCAGCGACAGACCAGGAAGCTGTGGTCCACGCACACATGGACTGGACTCGGCCACTCCCAAGAACAGACAAATGTGGATAAACTGGAGGACCTCACAGTAAGCGAAATGAGCCAGACAGAAAGGCAGATGCACATGTTCTTATCCATASGTGGAAACAGAAAAGATGGTCTCAAAGAAGAGAACAGAACGGTGATGACTGGAGGCCGGGCAGGGGTGGGCGGGAGGAGCTGGATGCGGTTCCCCGCGGGGCCGGGCGGAGGGAGTAAGTGCTGATGCTCCACCCACCGCAGGGCGGACACCGTTGACAACCCAAAGCCTCTCGAGCCTCCACGGAATCGTTTCTCTTTCTTGGGAGTTGCCCGTCAATTAGAAGGAAGGAGAAAGAGGGAAGCACCCAGGCTCCCGCAGGAGCTCCGTCAAGGTGGCCGTCCTTACTGGACACTTTTATAAAGTAAAGACCAGCTGTTCTTCCCAGGTCACAGGGACATGGGCAGGGAGGGAGGAATTACTTAATGCTGATGGCAAATTCCGCTGAGTCTTTCACCCTCTGCCGCACCAAGAAGGTCCCGTCGGAGCGGTTGGTGAGGATGTTCTCTGCGCCCGCGCGCTCCATGGGGCCAGCGTACCTGCGGAGACACACCAGGGACAGGGGCCATGGGGCGGCCACCTGTTAGCTCTTGAGGCTGCCTCCCCCACCCACCATGCTGTGTGGAGCGGGCCGGTGAGTCCAGCAGGCCTCAAACCCCACACCAAGCCCCACGGGGGTCATGCTGAAGCCCTGGGGTGGGCACTGGCCATCAGGCTGTGCAAATCACCCAAGGTCTGACACACGGGTTACAGGGGACGGCTCAGCCTTTGGGGTCTGGCTGGTCTCTGGAATTTGGCCATTACTRGTATTTTGCTGGGTGCCCACTGGATGTCCATCTCTGTGGTGACCAGGATGGAAGTCCGGTAGAGAGACTGAGGCACCCACCTCGGGTGCSAAAAATCCCAGTCACAGATAAATAGTAATGAAATAGTATTTTAATGCAACATTTTAAAAWTAAAAAAWTTTAAAAATCAGCCATAAAAAGTAATGAAGGGCSGACAGGTGCTCCGTAGCAGGTGCACCGGTGACATCCCGCTCAGTGTCACGCGTGGGACTCCACRGACAGGAAATGTCCAGAGCAGGGAAGCCTCGGGAAAGGAAGTGGCTCCTGGGCGCCGGGGAGCTGGAGAATGGGAGTCACCGTCAGCGGGCACGTGTCCTTCTCGGGGCCAGAAAATGCTTTGCAACTAGACAGAAGTGGTGGAAGTGCACCACTGTGTGTGGGAAACACTGAATAGACGTGCACATGTGGACCTGTTCATGACGTCAATGTGAACACGCAATACGGTAATGTGCTGGTTATGTGCCACATGCAACCAGGTATAACATACACCACGAACTTAAATAGACACGCAATATAAAATAACAGTATTTAAATGTAAATGTGCACTATAAATAATACGTGTTCATTACTTTAGACAAAATATAAATATACTATCAAGTAAATATGATGTGTATGAAAATACATGGTCTGCAATATGCTACAGATGTAAATGTGCAATATRAATAATAAATATTAATTGTTTATAATATAACAATGTAAATATGGAATACAAATGTAAATAAATATTGTAATAGATGATAGATATATCATAAAATTAAATGAATGTAAAACCACCACATATGTAAAAATATTAATTATATAATATGTAATTATATATAATATATGATKATTTAAACATTATAAAGGTAATATAAGATGTTTAATGATATGAGATAAAGGTATATATGCAATATAAATAATACATGTCRATTACATAAAATATGTAATTATATGTGATATATGACAATGTGAGTAGGTAATATTTAAATAGCTAATTTTATGAATTTAGCTAATTTTTTKAATTTCATCTTGGTTTTTTTTTTTWAATGAGTGCAAAAAARTCCATGATAACTAAAACAGATTGTAGGGGACAGCTGTTGCTTGGARTTCCATCCTAGTGATCTTGAATCCTGTGTTTACAATTTTCATATTTTGCTCATTGCAAATTTTCTGCCTTGTTTTTGATTTTCTAAAATGTTGCATTAGCATATTAGGTATCTTCATCTCATAAACTTTGGGCTCCACCCTTGGATTTTGCAGCCCAGGTCAGCCTGGGTCATCGACTCATCCTAGTCCCCACCGGCCAGCGTAACGCCAGACCCGGTTGGAATCCAGACTCGGGTGCTTGCTGTAAGCACTGGGGGAAGGGCTGTGCCGTGCTAGACCAAAACTTCCTTTTTTGAAAAGAGGGCCATTCTGCAGAGGGGTGTTTATGACAAGTAATAATGCACAAGACTGCTGCACGTCAGAGACTCAGGAGAGGGAGAGGGCTGGGACCCCCAGAGCCAACATCCTGCAGCCTCACCCCCCTCGCTTCCTCCACATGCAACACCGGATAAATCACTTCCCACCTGAGCTCCCTCTGCAACACAGGATTTCTCCTCAGCCAACAGGGGGGTGAGAATTGCCTGTATTTCAAGGGGTTATTGTGGGAATTAAGTGAGCTCATTAAAGTGCTGACGCAGGGTCATAAAAATCACCCCACACTGCGGCAAGCCTGCCTGGGAACAACGGTAAAACGCCCATCCCTTCACGTGCTGCCCACAAAGTTAGGCAGAAGACCCAGACCACGGYGTCCAAGGCCTCCCCCAATCAGAGGTGTTCAAATGCTGGGGGAGGATGTTCGCCTCGGAGGGCRACCACCCAGCTAACGCTGGAGAAGCACCTGGACACGAGTAGAAGGAGTTTAACACGGTGGAGCAGATCCCGTTACGAAGCTGCTTCCCAAAGAGGGAAACTGARGCTCAGGTCAGCTTTACAGCTGGGCACGGGATTTGAACCCAGGATAGCAGGATCCAGGAGCCACACCTGCTCAACATCCAATACGTGGGCAAAATAAAAATGAAATCAGAGGAAAGGAAACTGCCATTACCATCATCATCATCATCATCGTCGTTGTCGTCGCTCTCACTGTGACTATTTTCCTTCCATAAACTCCAGGTCGGGAGCTTGCCCTGTCTGCCCCCGCCCCAGCAGCCCTCAGCCCAGGGCTGGACTCTGAGGTCAGCAATCAGGGTTCACAAGATAAGGAGCTGATTGGCCTGGGGGCCCCTCCCATGCCCAGCCTGGGGCCCTGCCCCCGAAACCCCTAGTTGAAAGTAAGGATGGGGTCCTACTTACCAGAGATGGACAGACAGRTCCTGAGGAGGGCCCTAGAACAGAGACAGACACCAACTCAGGGCCAACTCAGCACCTGCTGCCAACCTTGGTTCACTCCCTCACTCACGCCACCAGCACGGGTTCCGCCAATCATGTGCCAGCCACGGTGCCATTCACCGGGATCAGGCCTGCAGTGGAGCAAAGGGGTGCTGCCCCGGCACAGGCAGGGGGGGGGTCCTCCTCCCACCTGTTGTATCAGGGCCCTCACACCAAGCACAGTGGAAATACTGAGCACCTGGCTCTTTACAGAAAGCCCGTGCCAGCCCTCGATCTAAATAAGTGTGAAAGTGCACACCTCACACCCACCACCAGAAAAAAGAAAAACCGTAAAACAGCAAATGCTGGTGGGGACGTGGCAACTGTCCCCGGCGCCCTGTTGGCAGCAGTGTTAACTGGAGCAGCCTCCGTGGAAAACCGCTGAGTGGCTCCTCAAAAAACCAACAGCCGTAACTGCAAGGTCTCCAAGGGATATGGGCACACCCAGAGTCACAACAGCACTGCCCACCGTGGCCGAAGGATGGCACCACCAGGTGTCCAGGGTGGAAGATGCGATGGTCCACACCCTGGGCTCTTACACAGCCGCCAAAAGGGAGGAAGTTCTGACACCCACAACATGGGTGACCTGTGTTCACTGGGACAGGCAGTCCCCAAGGAACAGCTACTGCAGGGTCCACTCCCAGGAGGCCCCCAAAGTCGTCAGATCCAGAGAGACAGAAAATAGAAGGGCGGGTGTCGGGGGCAGGGAGGGGACAGGGGTTAGTGTTGACTGGGACGAGAAAGTTCTGGAGCTTTGTGACATGTGACATGCTCAGTGCCACTGGATCATTGGCAGTGGTAACTGAAAGATGACTGAGTTGGTAAATGTGCTGCGGTGTGTGTTTTACCGCATTTAAAAGTAATAAGAAAGGAGGACCCACCACCTCTGCTGAGTTTTAAATGCTTTTTATCACCCCAGAAGACACCCCAGGCCTGTCACCTCCTCCGCAGTCAGCCCCCTGGGGCTCCAGGTGACTGCGCCCTTACCTGTTCCAGAAAGCTGGAACCCAATAACCACAAGTGAATGAACTCCACTGAACTCTTCATGGGCAACAGTCAACTTTATGTGGTGCAAAGTTCACCTCAAATGTTGAATAAGGAAGATAGACGTTCCAGTCCAGTGACAAGGAGGGGTAGGTTAAGGTGGGGGTCGGGTGGCAGAACAGCGAGTACTGAGCCTCTGGGGGGCCTGCAGTGAAGCAGGAATGCACACGCAGACCTACTGGTATTCGCCATAAGAAACCTCGTGCCGTGAGGTGGGTAGCAGCGGAGGCTGGGGACCTGGGTGGAATGGACAGTGGCAATTTGCTGTATCTATTCCCAGAGCCTTCGGTGTAACAGGAGAGGAGGCCCCGGGAAGTCTCATTTGGAGGCAGAAATTGGAGAGGTGCCCAGATTTGGTTTCTGAGTACCAGGCCCCATGACAAAGCATCTTGGAGAAATGGTTAACTCCAAGACTGGGACCGGGAAAGTTCCAGATGGACCTGGTACTGTGTCAGAAAATAAGGACATGCTCAAAAAGTGATGGGGACACGTCAAAAGGACAGAGGGACCAGCCTGACAGGGCTCCTGCTGGGACAATTTAAAAGTAAGAATCCACAGCTATTCCTCATAGATGATTGATGGATGGAGTGATTTGCTGATTGACAGGTAATGGATAGTAGGTAGATAACAGATTGACTAGATGATTGACAGGTAGGTAATGGATAATAGGAGACAGATTAATGGTGAATAGATAGTGGATGAATGGATGGATGGATAATGAATGGACAGATAGAGATGAATGATGGATAGATAGTTGATAAACAGGTAAGAAATAATAGGTTGATGGATAGACRGGTAGATAAGGGATAGATAGATGGCAGATAGATGATAGGTATGAATGGGTAGATAATAGATGGGTAATTGATGATGATGAGAGAGAATGGACCAGATGGATGACAGAGAGGTGGGCAGACAATAGATGAGACAGRTAACAGACAGACAGACAGACAGGCAAGGAGACAACAGAAGGATAGTCAGGTAAATGGGGTAGAGACAAGCTTCCTTACAGCAGAGGACCCCCAATAAATTTGGAAAGATTGATGAAGTAGGAAGCTCACAGTGTAATTTGACAGTGGAGAGATCACAGGACCCCAATCTCTCTATGACGTTTTTAGGGAAACTGACAAAATCTAAACAGACAATGAACTAAATCAGATTATAATGTACATCCTTCATTCTTTTTAAATCACACTATGGTTCCATACAAGCAGGTTCCTGGTCTCACCAAGTATTAGGTGAATGGAAAATAAATCCACAGACTTACTTTTAACTGTTTCAGGAAAAACAAATAACACATGTGTAGATYYGCACCCAGGAGRCCCTGRGGTCACCCGTGAGCAAGTGGGGGGCGGGTAAGGCTGGACGGGGGTCCCACTGCAGACTGCTATTTGGACTGGGAAGTGGAAAGTGGGGTCATTTCTGGGACTGAGGGAGGAAGGGGTGTCCGAGGTCTGGGGAGAACCGCAAAGGTGCGCAGCAATTGTAAAGAGTGAGCAGGGAAGAGCCGCGAGGACAGGGACAGGTCTGTCCATCCAGAGTGGACAACGTGTCTTCAGGACTCGATTCAGCTCTCCAAGGGAAGCCAGGACGGGGCCACCTTCTGGACCCCTCCTCCTTCCCGCGCACCTGATGAAGGAGCCCCCCCCCACATAAAGAATCCMGGGGGAGGGGCTGATCTCCCCTCTGGCCCCACTCTGAGGTCACCTGGCGGGCAGCAGAGCAGTGAGGAATGACCCACCCTGATGGTCCTCAGGGGGTCCTCCCACGTCTGCTCGCCCCCAGGACCCTCTGTGGCCCCCCTGTGGCCCCCGCCCTCATTCCATCCAGGCCGAGGCACTCACGTGGACGTAGGGCTTCACCCTGTGGCAGGGAAACCAGCCGACTTCGTTGGTAGCTGTATTCCTGCCCTAAACCCAGAGACAGAAACATGGACAGAGCTCATTGCTGTGTGTGTGTGTGTGTGTGTGTGTGTGTGTGTGTGTGTGCGTCCACCCCTCTGCCCAGGGGCCACTCTGCTTGCCCATCTACCTCTGGATGGCCCAGAAAGGTACCGACCAGCATCAGCTTCCTGGCCAACTCAGAAGGACCACCCCTGGAAACCCCGTCCACGTCCCCACCCCAGGCACCATCTCCAGAGTCCCGGGAGACAGGAGCCTGCTCCCCGGGGTCACCTGCACCCATGGCCTCCCACAGGGTCCCCCRCCACCCCAGGGCCCGAGCCCGTACCTCCCACCAGTTCTGCTCGGCCTCGGCCTTGGTCAGCTCCACGATGTCACCGGGGTTGAGGCGGAGAAAAGGCCCGAAGGCTCCGGGAGGCGGGGGGAGCCCGTAGTACTCCTGAAACACCTCCATCTTAGGCAGGCCTGGGGACAGGAAGGGGGGGCACGGGTGAGTGGCACTCAGGACTTCCAAAGCTGTCTCACCACCTACCAAAGTAGTTGAGAGTAAAAGGACCAGCAGCGCCCAGGGGTGGCAAGGATGTGAGAAACTGGAACGTCTGTGAATTGGGATGAGCTTCACTTCAGAGAATGGCTGGGCAGGATGTCAACAGCTAGGCCAAAAGCTAAAGCCAGCCCACGTCCACCTGGGGCCCAGCAGTTCCACTCTCACTCACACCCAAGAGAAATGAAAGCATGTCCCTTGGAAGTCAGGAGCAAGAATGTTCAGAGCATTTATTTGCAATGGCCTCAAAGTGGCAACGAACCCCGTGTCTTTAATAAATAGGATGGATAAGCAGATTGTGATATGGTCCTACGACGGAATATTACACAGCAATGGAAAAGCATGAGCTACTGCTGCAAGAAACTACATCAATGAATCTCAGTGACTTTGTGTTGAACAGAAGAACCAGATGCAAAAAGAACATACATGAAACCACCCAGGGCTTCATTGGTAGGAAATCCAAAGGCAGGCCAAGCTACTCTACCACGAGGGGTAAACAGTGGCGCTCTCTGGGAGACATGGTGCTGACCAGCAATGCTGTTTGATAGTGTTCTGTGGTGATGAAGTGTTCAAACTTGTGCACATCAGACAGGGTAGCCACCAGCCACGGGTGACAGTTGGCACCTGAAGTGCTAGTCTGAGTGAACAAAGGTTAACGCTATTTAAGGGCAACTCGTTTTTTTTTATACTGGACAGTCCCGTTTTGAAATGATGAAAATGTTCTAAACCTTGATCTGATTGCTGACCTCATGGTCATAAGTTTGCTGAGCCAAACACTCCAGACTGATTCCCTCTTCGCCCCTTACAGCATGTGTCTTCTGTCTTGGTGCAAAGCCTATAGGCGCTGAGGTATGGCTCATGGTGAGCGCTTGCCTGGCACGCCAGAGCCCGGGTTCCATCCCCAGGACAGGAAGAAAAAGAAAAAGAAAAGAATTGCTCACCCTCTTGTAGGGGTAAAGGATCAGAGGTGGCCCAGCCAGCTGAGACTATGGTGTGGCTGGGGGGAAAGTCAATAAGAAAAGAGGGTCGAAGAGAAAGAAGATTTTGTTGTTGTTGTTGTACTGGGATTCAACCCAGGYGCTTTACCACTGAGCCACATCCCCAGCCCTTTTTTGTATTGTATTTAGAGACAGGGTCTCGCTGTGTTGCTTAGAGCCTTGCTTAGGCTGGCCTTGAACTCGAGGTCCTCCTGCCTCAGCCTCCTGAGCTGCAGGGATTACAGGGYGTGCCACCACACCTGGCTAGAAAGAGGATCTTAATCAACTCTGCCACGGTCCTTCACAGCAGCTCAGCAAAGCCAGTAAAGAAATCGCGTTGCTATTTCTGAATGGCCCTGGGTGTCAGTTCCTTGGGACTGGAACCCGGGGTCACAGTTATGAGCCAGGCATGACGTGAGCATTGCATGATTATCAAGATCAGTACCTGGGTCCACACCCCTGGAGCAGAGACCAGCTTTCCTGCCCTCCCCCAGCGCCCCCTGCCCACTCACCGAGTTCACTCCTTTTTCTGTCCTGAGCCCTTCGATGCAGCTTATCCTGCAAGGAGAGAAGGAGAAGGCCAGCATGGCCCTTAGTGCCCGGCCCAGGCCCCTCAGCCCATCGCTGCCTCCCCAGCATAGGACAGTGCCCACGGCTGGGGTCTCCTGGGTGYTGCCCCCTGTGGTTTCCCAGTCCCAGAAGGAAGCAGGTGTGTGTGGGGGTCTCACCTTCCTCATAGTTCCGGCACAGTCTACGGCAGGAAAGGAAAGAGTTAGGGTGGGGAACCCCCCGCGGAGAAGTGAGCCCACCTCCCCTGCTCCTCCCRCTGGTACCTTGCCCGTGTCGGCCGCATGGAGGGACCCTCCCCAGACACTCCTTGTGTGCAGGTGCGCGGCACCGACTGCAGCGGTAGCCCTGGTAGAAGGTGCCTCTGGAAGGCAGGGGGAGGTGGGMGAGAGTCGGCACCGTGGACGGGCACGCTGACCATGCTGCCCACAGCGCGCGTCCTCGCCAGAGGCAGAGGGACAGGTCAAGGCGGGGCCTCCCAGGATGGGGGGCTCTAGAGGGGAAGGGCTGGCCAGCCTGAGCCCTGGGCCCCCCAGCGCCCACCTGAGCAGCATCTGGCAGGCTTTGCAGGAGGTGGTCTCCTCAAAGGAGAACATCTGGAAGTCGTGCCCGTTGGCGGCGGCGTTCTCTGGGTAGATGTTGGAGCTGAGGGGAGAAGATAAGAGCAGAGAGGACGGACACTTCATCCCTCTGCAGGCTGGACAGTGTCCCCGTGAAGATGGCCCACTGGGTTTGTCGGGTCATCCGCAGGTGGATCTCCACCTCTGCCTGTGCTGACCAGTGGGGCTGGGAACGTGCGCAGAGACTGGGAGAAGAGCAGTAGTGGCCAGGGGCATGGGGTCACCACTGGGGGTGGGGAAAGGTTTGCAGTGGAGAGGTGACGCTGCACAGCACTGTGAATGCACTAAATGTCACAGAACTTACACTCTGAAATGGTGCAGTTGTTACGTGAATTATATCTCTGTAGGAGGAAGAAGATGACGATGATGGAGGAGAAGAACGAAAGGAGGAGAAGAGGGAAGAGGAGGAGGAAAGGAAAAGGGAGAGGAGGAGGAGGGAGGAGGGAGAGGAAGTAGAAGAGATTTCCAAGCTGAAGCTTCACAGAACCTTCACATGCTGAGGTTGAATGAACCCTTCTTCCCATTTTCCAGATGAGGAAACTGAAGTTCAGAGTGGTCGCATGGCATGTCAGGACAGAGCAGGGATGAGAGCCCAGCCCTGCACATGCAAGATGGAGTCCTCTGAGGACAGAACGAGGGAGGGGAAGGGGGACTCACATGGCCATCTCAAACTGCTCCATCCACTTCTTCTTCAGCTCTCGAGTCTTGAAGAACAGCTCGTAGCCCTGGGCGCCTTGGTCCTCGATCAGGAGGAACATGTGGCTCCACTGCAGAGAAGAGCTGGGGCTGAAGGCACCGTCCCTGCAGAAGGTGGGGCCCTGCGCCCATGATCCCCTCCCCCCTCCCCCACAGGGACAAAGGACTGTCTCTGCCCTCCAACCCTGCCCTCCCACCCTAGTGGAGGGCTGCCTGGGATGTCGGAATACACACGCACAACCACAAGCCACACACACACACCCCACAGAGATGTCATTCATCCATCAGTTACTCCAGAGCATTTGCTGGGAGATGAGACACCTGCTAGGGACCTGGGGACAGAGCACTGAGCAGGACCTGCCCCTGGACTCCAGCCTGGAAGGAGAGAGACCCACAGGCTGGCAGGTTCAAGAGAGCAATTAGCACCGGGAGGGAGATAGAGAGATGCGGGGAACCCAAAACAGAGGAGCAGCCAGGGAGGGGGAGCTTCCGGGAGGAGGGAGAAAGGAAAGGGAAGAAAGAGGGCCAGCAGCAGGAGGGACAGTGGCCATCGACAACACCCTGGCCAGCGGGCTCTGAGAAGACAGCCCCTCCACCCGGCCCCATTCTTTGTGGAAAGCATCGCTTTTTCTTGCTTCGTACAAGAATGGAAGCACCACAGGAGAAAGATCGTAGCTGCTTTGTTTTAGGTTTTAGCCCCAGAGCCTGAAGACCCTGCAGGATGGGCCCTGGGCGCTCAGTGGGCTAAGGAACAGGGTTCTGCGCGCTGTAGCAATCCCGTGTGCGCACGCGCCGAGCAGTCCCCAGGCCGGGTGCCCAGACCCGAGCGGCCCCTTGCAACCCGGGACAGCAGGCGCCAGAGCCCCACCTTCTTGTTTTCTCGGTCTCCGGAGGAGTCATCCCGGATCTGGAAGCTGTGCAGGTTCACAAAGACCTTGAGGTCGTAGGAGTCCCCCCGGCGCTTGCAGATGAGCAGAGCTTTGTCCAGCAGGAACGCATACCTGCGGGTCACCGGCAGCCCCACGGTCTGACCCCTCCCATCCATTGGCACCTCCTTCCTAGCCCCAACCTCCTGTCCCTCTAGCACTCTGACGTCCCTCCTCCTCCTCCTCCTCCTTGGCCCGTTTGGCCAGGGCCACTGTCACCCTGACCTCACTCACTTGATCCGCGCTGGCCCAGCCACCTGTCAGTCTTGGCTCYACCCACCCACCCGTCCTGGCTCCACGCGCTGGTTGGGGGACCCCATCCATCTTTCTAGAAATCAGACTCCACCCCCATCCCTACCAGACTCCTCCCCAAATCCTTGACGAGGCCAACCTCCAATCTATCTAGGAATCCGGGCTCCTCGGTTCTAACCTGGTTCCCCCCACCTTCCCTGTCCCCCGCCCCAGCTCCACCCCATCCAAGCTGACTCCGCCCACCTAGGAACCTGCCCCTCCCCATCCGGGCTCCACCCAGACCCAAGCTGACCCCACTCACCTGTCCGTCTTGGTGCGCCTTTCCACGGAAGTGATCTTGAGCTCCCCATCGATCTTGGGCCGGCCAAAGTTGGCCAGAGACTGGCCCTATGCAGCACACAGAGGGTCTAGCAAGTAATGACCAAGAAGGGGACAGACCCCTTCCCATGTGACCACACCCCTGGCCCACCCTTCTCCACGCCCTCACCAGGTTCTCAATGGACAGCTGGAAGTGGGTGATCTGCCGCAGGGTCTCGTTGTCCCTCTTGACCTCGTTCACGCACTGCGCCAGGTCCTGGGGTGGGGCAGGAAAGAGTGTGGCTTCACACACACACACACACACACACACACACGGCCTGGTCCTTTACCTGGGTCAGCCCCCAGTAAGAGGCTCACAGAGAGTCTCCGCAGCATGCCCACGGTCAGGCCCACACCCCACTCACCCTCATGGCGTCCAGGGCCAGCCGCAGGTTCTCCTTCTCCACTGTGTCCTGCGTATGCTTCACCAGCTCCTGTGGGAACCAGAGTCAGGCTTCACCTGGGCCTGCCCACTGCTGGGGGGGCTTTCAAACTGGGCTGGCCCACGAGGTCCTCCTCCATCCTGCTCTCCCTGGAGGCTCGGACGTACCCAAATGACCCACCCCAGAGGGCCCTAGCRCCCCAAGCCATGGAAGCCAGCCCCAGCGCCCCACAGACAGCTCAGGTGGGCAAAGCCAGGCTCAAGGACCGGCTGGTGCTGGCACCTGGAGAAGGAGGTGGTACTTGAGCACCCGCTGCATGGGCACCATGAGCAGGTCCCGCAGGGTGAACCTGCCGTTGTTGGCGCGCTGAGAACATTCCTGGGGGACAGAAAACAAAGGTGTGAGGGAGGGGGGGACCCTGGGGGCCAGGATGAGCCCAACGCAGGGGACTGCAGCAGACAGACGTGAAGGAACACTCGGCACCTCTCCACCCAGAGCTGGGCGAGTTTCTAGCCAGGGACCACCAGAAGGGGTCATCATCGATCCCCACGGGGAAATGAAGGGGCCRGCCAGGAGCAGCTGAAGAGCATCTCAGGGTGGCCAGTGCTGCTGGGCCGGAGGCCGGGCACTCTGCCAGCTGAGAGGGCCGAAGGGGAGGGGGCCCGCCTAGAGGGTCCCCAGCCTCATTGCCCCACCCTCTAGACACTAGACACACAGGTCCCCTCAGGGGTTCAGCTCAGGATAGGGCTCAGTGGGAAGTTCAGCCCCACGTGGGACATGGTGCTAGGGCTCACTCGGGGCTGACGGTCAGCTTGGGGTCAACATTTGGTCCAGGGTCAGGATTTCAGCTGAGGCTGGGTTCCGTGAGCTGGTCCATGTCTGCCCTGCTTCATCTCCTCCCCTTGGCTGCCCAGAACATCCCTCCCCGGAACCTTGACACATCCCCAGTTGGAAAGTGGAGCCATTTCCAGCTCAAAGAGAAGAACCCCCCAGAGGCAGCCCAGCCCCCACCTCCAGCTTCATCTGCACGTCTTCCCGGGCCGTGGCCACTTGGTCCAGGTGCTTACTGGCAGACTCCACCTGGCTGCAGTAGCGGCCATAGACAAGGAACCTACAGGAAGAGGCAGGCCAAAGGGTAAGGGTAGATCCCCAAGCCTCAGTTTCCCCGTCTATAAAGTGGCCCTAACACAGCACCTACACACAGAGTTAGCGTAACATTAAATGAGATAATGCACATGCAGCTTTTAGCAGAGAGCCTGACTTTAGTCTCTGCCCAATGTTCATTTATTTAGCAGACACTTATTGAGTGCCTACTGTGTGCTGGGCCCTGTGCTAAGCGTTTTATACCTTTATTTATTCAACCGTCCCCACAACCAAGTGAACTCTGATTTACAGACAAGGAAGAAGCAGATGCACAGAAAGGTTAGTAGCTTCCCAGTATCACACAGCAGAGCTGGGAACTGAACCAGAGATGGGAAGCCCCTGCCTGGTCTGATGGCAAGCTCTCCCCAAGCCCCACCCAGGCAGGGCAGGGGCTCCCAGGGCTCTGATCTGGCCAGCTGGGTCTCACCTCTCCTTGTATTTGATGAAGACTTGGTACAGGGTGGGTGATCCCGGGGTGGCCAGGGCCTCCTTCATCTCCTTTAGGAAGAGGGTGTGCACACGAAGCAGGTCCTACTTGGAGGAAGGGGCGAGGACTGGGRTCAGAGCCTGGGGCTCGGGACGGGGCAGGTCAGGTGACACCCATGGATTATCCTCCCCTTGGGACAGAGGCCCAAGAGGGCCGGGGATCAGCGGGCTCACCTCGATGTTGACAAAGATGTTCTCCATGTCCTGGGGCGTGAGGAACCGCTGCAAGGGTTTCATGAAGTGCTGGGAAGCGGAAGAGAGGAAGTGAGGGAGGCTGAGACCCTCCCCAGGGCAGCCCCGGGGAGACGTGGCCAGAGACAGGGGACAGAGATGCGCAGGCAAAACGTCAGACAAGAGACAGATGAGACAGAGAGGTGGCCAATGTCCACCCCGGAGCTTGCGCCTGAGTGTTCTGAGCAGGGTCTCATCCTAGCCACGTGCCCCTCACCCAGGACGGGGCAGGCGAAGTAGGCAGGAACACGACTCCCCTAGGACAGGCCTGAGGCTCTGCCACCACCACAGTGTGACGGAACACTGTGCTCGGTGACAGAAGCTAGATGCCAAAGGCCACACGGCCTGCGACTCCCCATGGGAACATCAGGGACAGCCGACCAYAGGGGCAGGACACAGACTGTGACACCGGGGTCGGGTGGGGGTGGACTTCCTCGGGAGATGATGGGAGTGTTGTCAGTTGGTGGCCCAGGGACAGGGCACKGGGCTCATAGCTCACCCTGCCTGGGGTGCTGCAGGGGCTGGACATGGGGACGATAATTAAATCTCCACTGGCTCTTGACCAAGGACAGAGAAAGGAAAGACAGACAACAGAGAGAAAGACAGACAGGAATGGAGAGGGGCAGCCACCAGGTGCGGGAAGCCCGAGGCGGGTTAAAGGACACCGCGGAGACAGCCACGCTGAGGAGGGGGGACAGGAGAACCAGGGACAAGAGGAGGACACAGAGAAAGGTCGCAGGAGGAAAGGCAGAGGCCGCCCGGCCACCTGCTGGATGGAGCCCAGGGTGTCCGTGTACTTCTCCTCCGTCTGCTGGATCTCCCGCAGGCAGCAGCACCGCTTGTCGTACTCGGTCATCTTGGGCTGCGGGCGGGAGGACAGCGGGTTGGGACCCGGGTGGCCCCCACCGCACCCGTGACCCCCACGGCCCCCCGGCGCCCCTCGCACCAGCATGGGCACGGGCTCCGAGCGCATGAGGTCCTCGTAGATCTCGTCGCCCTCRGCCTCCTCGTTCTCCACGCAGTCGTACAGGTCCTCATCCTCCTCCGCGGTGTCGCTGTGGGGCTCCGAGTCAGGCAGGCCACCAGCCCCCAARCCAGGGACCCCTCTGTATCAAAGCTGTGTCCCCTCATACCCCCCAGCCCAGGGCTGTGCCCAACGTAGGGCAGGACGGTGTCCCTCAGACCCCCWGAGACCCCGGGGCAGAGCCATGTCCCTCAGAGCCCCCCCACACACACCCCCACACCACAGCTGGGCCTCCCTCCCCCGGGGCCCGGTACTCACTCAATCTGGTCCGACAGGCCACTGTAGATGTCCTCGTCACCCAAAGTGTCCTCCTCAGTGGGGAAGGGCCTGGGGGCCAGAAGGTGTGAGCCAGGGGCCTGGGGCCAGGAGGGAGGGGCTTCACGGGGGATCGGTGTCCCCGAGGTTACTCACATGATGCCCTTGTTCTGGGCGATCGGGGTCCAGGACAGCGCAGAGAGGGTGCAGATGACCTGGGACGAAGACCGCCTGCTCACAGCCCTTCCCACACCCAGGCCAGGGCACAGCCTCAGGACCAGGCCGACCCTGAGGTGGACCTCAAGCCTCCGGGGACCTGAGGCCCCCAGCTCACCTTTCCAAAATCCTGCACATCAAAGAGGTCGAAGGCCTCAAAGAGCTCACTCCGCTTGAGGCCGAACTTCTCTCCRCAGGTGGACAGGAAGGTCCGGATGTTCTTGAGGCACAGGAACTGCGGGGAGAGAAACGAGGAGGCGTGGGGCATGAGGGGCAGAGAGAAGCTGGCCGCGGGGCAGCCCGGCCTGGGGACCTCCACAGAGGGAAAGGGGGAGGTGTCCGCTGCCTCCTGAGAAAGATCAAGACCCTCCTGAAGCCATCTACCCTCCTGGGCCCCCCCAGTACAATTTACAGAACATGAAATTGATCCCTAACACGCGAGCAAAGTGTAGTGTCGGCCRTAACAGGACTGTCCGTCCACAAAAAGAAAGGACACGTTGGCATGCTAACGCGTGGGCGAACCTTGGGACCCTCCGTTAGACCAAAGCCCCGGGTCACATATGGGCTGATGCATTCCACAGGTGCCGAATCCCCCTGAACGAGTCTGTTTCTTGAGTCAACACACTCTTTGCCTTTTCAAAGCCAGTTTGGGTCAGGTTACTGAGGCTCGAGTCTGAAGGACATTAACTAACSCAGAAGTCAAGCACATAGACATGGCCCTGGTTTCCCCCACCTGGCTCTGATGAAAAAAGAAAGAAAGCTCTCTTGAGGTCCTTAGATTCTAAAGCACTGTCCCCAGCCTGTCCACGCCCTCCCTGGGGCGCAGACTGGTTCTCTCCCTCAGCCCCCGATACTGTCCCAGAGCCAGTGTGAACCAAAACCATACGGTAGGTGATCCACTAACAGGAAGTGTCCAGAGAAGGCAAGTCCATGCCAGGGAATATTATTTGGCCACAAAAAGGAATGAAGTCCTGTTYCCCGCGACCACCTGGGTGGGATCTTGAAAACAGCTCAGGAAAAGCAGCCAGTCCCAAAATACCCCGCCCTGTGGGATTCCATTCAGAGGAAACGTCCGGAACCGTTCTGGAGACTGGGCGTGCAAGAACAAGGCGCAGGCAGGCGTGGTTTCTGTGATGTTCTGGAKGCGTGGTGTCCCCCAGAGCTCACGTGAAACAGTGAGAATGCAAGAATGTTCAGGGGTGGAGTGGTTAGATCATGAGAGCTGCGACCTAATCGGTGGGTTAATCCACTTCAGTGGATTAACTGGGTGTCACCATAGACCGTCGGGGTGCGGCAGAGGAAGTCATCCCTGGGGGTGTGCCATTGAGGTTGAAGTTTTGCCCTGGTGGCAGGAGCTGTCTCTGCTCCTGGCTGCCATGTCCTGAGCTGCTTCTGTCCTGCTGCGCTGCCTCGCCTTGGGCCCAGGCTGAGGGGTTGGCCAGCCTTGGACTGAGCCTCTGAGCCTCTGAGCCTCTGAGCCAGTGTTAACTGTTCCTCCTCCACGTTGCTCTTGTCAGGTCTTTTGGCCACAGCAATGAAAAAAATCTGACTGGTCATTTTCTTCTGGGCCTTTGTCCTGGACGCATTTCCCTGTGTCTGCACCCCAGGTGCACAGGTCCCCAGGTCCCTGCTCCAAGGCCACCTCCTCCATGAGGCCTCCTGGGAAACCACACCCCACACTCCGGCATCTTCTGCTTAGTCTGCTGTCCCTGACCGTCCACCTCCCCAAGTGAGATGCCAGCCTGAGGAGGCAGAGCCACGGTTTCCCCCTGGTGACGTCCAGCACCTGCAGCAGGGTCCCGCAGGTAGCAAACAGGACACGTTTGACAAGTGGGCAGAGGTGKCGGCCTGGGAATCTGTCCCTCAGCAGTGAGAGAGGTATGCCTCACTCTGCTTCACAGTGGCGCATGTTTGACAAATGGAAGGACCACGGGAATCTTACCGAGGAGCMAGTTTATAAAGACCCCTCTTCCAACAATTCTCATGACACTGCAGATTTCGTCATGATTCTTCTATCTGTTGTGGGGATGTACAAGCAGTGACTTGTGGCATTAGCCATGTAGACATTCTGGGGTGCCCGTAACTGCACCCAGACAAGGCGGCAGACAATCCACACAATCTGACCGCACCACAGGCCACAGGTCCCCGCCTGTCCCTCTCCTTAACTCAGGTGATAAAGCAGCATACGGATTCCAGAGTCTGATTCTAATTTCGAAAAAGCTTCTACTGCACATAAAACATTCCCAGGYGGTATCCYGCACCCYAGGGAGAGGTTCCAGGAAAGGAGGWGCCCGTCCACACAGCCCAGRCCACCACCRGGTCTGGCTTTAAGAAACTGCCACAGCCCGCGACATTCAGCAACTCCAGTCTGCAGCCACCAACAGGACCTTGCACCAGCAAACACACTGCAACTTGGAAAGCTCAGGTCATCGCTGCCGTTTTTACCAGTAATTTTTTTTTTTTTAAATTAAGGGACAGCAATGTTATTTTGGACATAATGCTACTACACACTCGATAGGCTACAGGATGTGTAAACACATCTTATGTGACTGAGAAACCAAAAGCTTCCTSTAACTCCCTTCCTCGCGGGGGGTCTGGAACCTAACCTGCAAGCGCCTGCCGTCCTGAGCCTCCCCTGCAGCCCGACCGCATGATAATGTTTCTTGGAAGCATCGCTGGGGGAGAGCTGGGCACCSCTAGCTGAGTTCGCAGCCCTTTCCACCACCGACAGGAAGCAAGCTGAGATGGGGAGGGACATGCCCACAGCTGTTGWCAGTGAGAATGAGTCTGTAGGGAGCCACAGGGCAGTGCCAAGCCGGTGGACTYTGGAGCCCTCTTCTCGCCCCCAGCTGCCTCTCCTTGCCACCCCTGCAGCCGGAGCCACCCGTAAGCACCCGYGTGGCTCCGTTTCCTGCACTCTGCAAAAGTAAGGCAGAACTTCCCAACCCTGAAAGGCATTCTTCTTCTTCTCATTTCTCAAGTAATGAAACTGAGGCAGGGACTCAGCCGGGACGCAACTCAGCCCGTGCTCAACCTGGACGCCTCCACTGCGCACRCGAACAGATTCCATACAGTCTCCATTGTGTAGTGGTTTCTTGGTATCCAGGACCCCCACAGACGCCAAAACCAAGGATGCTTGAGTCCCTAATGTAAAATGGCACGGTGTTTGCACAGGACTTCTGCGTATCTTTCCGTAGACTTTAAATCATCCCTAGATGAAGTAGGATACCTAACAATGTAAATGTCATTTAAAAACATGTTGTTGTGTTGCATTGTTTAGGGAACGATGACAAGAGAAACATCTATACATGCTCAGTGCAGACCCAATGTTGTCCACATGTTTTTAAAATCCSAGGTTGGTTGAATCAGAGGAGGCAGCACCCACAGGTATCACCATCTCCCACATTTCCACCTTCAGATGGTACCTTCTTAATTGTAGCCACGTTCATTCTGAAGCACTACATTTGGAACTGGACTCTAAATTTGGTTTAACATAAMTGAAGTGTATCTCAGAAGAGATATCTGCCAAGGTTGGTGGCATGTCTGAAACCCCAGCTACTTGGGAGGCTGAGGGAGGAGGATCACAAGTTCAAGGCCAACCTGGGAAACTTATCAAGAGCCTGTCTGAAAAATAAAAAGGGATTGGGTATGCAATTCAATGGCAGAACGTCCTAGGTTCAATCCTCAGTACTGCAAGAGAGAGGCAGAGAGCAGGGACAGAGAAAGAGATCCTCTGCATCCGACTGTAAAAGGAAAAGCAAGACCATTACCTGTAAACAGAATTGCCTTAAAATCTCTGTTATACAATGTTATTAAACTCAAACAGATCTTGTTTCTTGCCTAAGGCTCTGACCCCAGGCCTGTTCTCTGTCAAAAGAGATTAGCAACTGTGAGAGAAACTTAAAAGACACAGTAGCAATTCCACAGCCATTTGTGATTTAAAAAAAAAAGGGGGGGGGGAATATCTTGTGACAGAGCTGGTTAGAAGGGAACTTCTGTAACCAGGTGAAGGTCATCTTCAAAAGCTCTAGAGAAAAATGTTGCACCCAATAGTGAAATGCTGGAACAATTCCCTTTGACATGGGAACAGAGGTAAAGGTGCAGAGGGCTGGAGAGGGGTCTGGCTGTGCATCAAATTCTGCCACACTTGTACCCAACAGAGAAGCCAAACGGAAGAAGGAGAGAGGCACATTGGCAACCTTCACCGAAACTCCTCCCGGCAACTCAGAAACTCCCCCCAAATATATGGATACATCCCACCAGTAATACAAGGTTTCTGAATGTAAAACCAACAGGCAAAGTCCGCTGCATGTCGGTACATAMACAGCAAACAGAAAATGTTGCCTAAAATATGATATTTTTCAAAATCCTAGAGTCAGCACAACCAACCTATGGTGATAGAAATCAGAGCCGAGCCGTGGTTGCCGCAGGAGCAAGGGGAGGGTGGCGAGGTTGACTCAAGAAGGCCACAAACGACAACGGAGAGGTTCTGCATCTTGATAAGGGTGTGGGTTACACACGTGTGTGGCGCTGGGACTGATTGCAAGGCAAACCCAAGAACTTAGCAAGTCACCGGGAAAATCGGGCTTTGATTTAAAAAGGAAACCATTTAGCATTTGCCTAAAGATGTAAACCAAGCCACACATGGAACGGCTTATAAAGCTAACAAAAAGAAGTGTAGATCCTGTATGAAGAAAAGTGTCCTTGTATTGAAGGACATGGGAAAAAAACTACATAAATAGAGTAGAATGAACACCAATTCTTATCAAGAAAGATTCAATTGTTTAAAATTTTTAACTCYAAGATTAAGCTCTAGAATCAGTGGAATTTCAGTTAAAATCCCAAAAGGATTTTTTTATTGAATTTGATGCTTTAATCATATTTATGTGGGAAAATACAGAATCATGAATAGCCAAGACAGTCCCGTCCTAGGACCATCAAGGACAACCATTAATGTGATGATGGTAGCCAGCTTCCAAGASAGCCCCAGAGTCCTTGGCTCCCCGTGCGCATGAGAATATAGGACACACTTTCGTAATCCCCTCCCACAGTGAACCAAGACTGACCTTGTGTGATGAACAGAATACAGGGAAAGTAACAATAAGTGACTCTTCAAGGCTAGGTCATAAACGTCCCTGTGGTTCCCACTCTGGCCTCTTGGGTGACTCACCAGCCGCCATACTGTGAGGCTGCTCAATCAGTCCTGTGGAGAGGCCCATGTGGCTGGGCCACCTG